CATACGACCGAGATGACCTACTACTCTGAAGAACTGTTACTGGAATATAGCTGTCTTCCTGGATCGGCTCCACTTAACATACAAATTTAGAAAGCACCAAAAGGCAGGATTCGAGTATGTAGTGTGATGGTAACGGACTGCATTTCGAAAAATTTAGAAAGGCTGAAATTGAGAGATTCAAGTTCCTCTCGGACCATACCTTCGCGACAAAAACAAAAAGAGAAGTAGCAGATCAGTGATAAAGCTTCGAATCGGTAAGAGGTTTCAGCAGGCACAACCACGATATGAAGCCAAAAATATAGGAGAACCAAAGGAGCACACGTGTTGAGCGTTTCGGATAATATCCAATGTACTGAAATAACGGCAAGCCCATACTGTTACAAATCGAATGACTGATTATTGGCGCCAATATGTGACCTGAAACTAGCTGTGAAGATGATGGCGGTCAGTGCCCTAGCGCACATGACTCTAAAAAGGACTTTAGCAGAGTGTTAAAAAGGCCTGTGAACTGACTTAAACAATTTTGTAAAATCCACTATTCAAACAAACTTAGCAAAACAGCTGATCTCCAAATCGTCACTGCAAATTCGCCGACAGCGAAACGAAGCCTCTGCACTGCGCAGTTTTCCACGGAAGTACAGGGATGAAAGGATCAGGAATAGCACAGTTCTTTTGCTTCGCATAACCTATTTCATTTGTGGCGGAAAGAATTCACGCCCAACAGTCAATGACTATCAGTTAAAAGACCCCGCTTCACATATGCAAATTTTCTCACAGAAAGAATCTGTGTTAGCAAAACCCAGGCGATAACGCACCAGGCTTGCCGGTGCGATCATATGTTTTTGCGCTAAGTTTGCAGGTCATTAACAGCAAGAATGACTCCTGCGCTGTGCTTTAACAATTAGACTCATACTGGCTGTGTTTCGGCCTCTTCCTGCATGTAGAGGGAAAAGGCTTCGCTGGGATGAAGGTGTTGCATTATGGGATGCATGAACCTCGGCGTGTGTGATTATCAGTTTTTTGCATAAAACCCGGTCGTTTTTCTGGTGAATTCTTGTCTACTGAAAAAATGCAAGTTTGAAGGAAGTCTGGAAGGGACTATGAAATCTGTAAAATGCGCCCGCTTTTGGGTTTGCGATAAAATTGAGTATTTGTTATGTCAACGTGCATGGGATTTCATCTCCAAACTGGATTAAGACAAATGTGAATATTTTAAAGATTCAGCCTCACAGCTCGCCCGGTAAGCGAAATAGCCACTTCGCTACAAACATCTTTGAAGCGCCCTAAATTTTAAGTTTAAGTATACAATTTCCCATATGAATGATCAATAATTTGACATGATTTAAGCTGTTGTTTTCCGGCTAATTTTCGAATTAGTACAGTGCCAACTGCGAACTATGACATGACTGTACACGCGGTATAATCGTGCACGACAGGTGAATTTGAAACCTTTAGCTCACACATATACAAAGAATATCCCTGCAAAGTTTTCTATCTTCTGTGGTTCGCGAAGTCGTTCCCCACTAAAGAAACTTGCATATTTTTTTTTTCGTAGATCTGTACGCTAGATCTAGGCGCATATGAGCGAAGATTCTGAAACGGAAAAGTGAGACACGAGGTGGGAATATGACTGCAAAATTTCATTCTCCCAGCTTTCCCGGTCGCCGAGTTGAATGTGGGTGACAACTTCCACTCGTTTCCGAACACACACACACACACACAGACGGACGACATTTTGACAATATGCGTTTTTGTTCGTTGTAGCGGCGCAAAGCAAAAACGCATAAAAACGTCTAAGCTGCAAATCACAATTACCAAACAATAAGACACGCCGCACGTGACTAAGCAGCCAGCTTGCAAAAGACGCACGTAAACTCCAGTTTATCGGATTATTTTGTGTTTTTGCATCTTATACAAATGCAAAGGCTCATACAATCAAGAATCTGTGTGTCTGTGTGTGTGTGCGTGTTGTGCATCCAATTAGCAGTTTGAATCCAGGGAAACAAACTGGTATAGCGCATACCACCCGCTTGTTTCTAAGTAACCTTCGGAAGAGAAAGCCATAGATAAACTCAAGAATCTACGGCTAGTGCTGGCACGAACTATCATTCTGGGCCGCTTCTCACAGAAGCTTGATTCTACAGCGGTTTTAACTTTTGAACTGTTGTAAGTTCGCATATATGCCACAAAATAAAGGTCCTACAAATCCAAATTCCGCCCCCTATGATTAGTGATTTGACAGGAAAAAACACATAGCCAGTACAGACTTAATTTCGTCAAAGCACGTTTTGGAACTTTTTTCGCAAATATTACCTGTACGTACAAATAAAAACGTTGCATAAGCACCAAAAAGATATGAATAAGACATTTGGAATGCTGAAAAACGCAGTTTACCAGAAAGCAAAACCGTGGCAAGCCTGACAGACTCAAACATAAAAATTCTATACATTTCTTCTGCGACTGTCTGTTCTGTAAATTCGACTTCTATTTTCATTTTTTAACTTTCACCAGTGTTTTCGAATTCTAGGAAAATTCCGGCATAAAAATTTAGCATAGCCTGTTGCAGAAATAGACTTCAAAACGTCCCAAGCGGCTGGAAGTCGGTTTTATCTGCCAAAAACGGAGATAACTTCAGAACCAGTGGGATAGTGCCAGCGGCACTTGTCATGAAACAACCCAGTATATGTGACACATGTGCATATTTTAAGCGACGGTATTGATCTTACTTCTTGTCCGCGGCTGTGAAGCATCGGTAATTTGCCATGGATACAAAAATTAGCCAAGGTCATCCGAATGGTGCTCGGCATGCATCCCCTTACGTTTCTGGGATAGAGGATATAAAATCATTATACCCAATCTCATATGCGTAAGCAAGAGTTCTAATGTACTACCCACTACGAGCTCTGATCGTGAACGTTGTCTGTGCTCGTTGGTCAAGCAGTCTTCCTTAATGAAGAAGTTGGATTAATGGGATCCATCAACTCCGACAAAACGTCAAATTGTGGGAAACAGAAGAAATTCCGCAACGGAAAGCGAAATCCGTCAACTTTTGAGTGATGGAAGTGAAATCCGTTAATTTCATGTGCAGGCAGTGAAATGGAGAAAAAAGATCAGATTACCTCGTCTGCTAATTGCTTCGCACTGCGTGTAGCCTCTCCTCATGTCATCGAAGATGTGATGCAAGTGACTTAGTGCAAATGGCAGTGGAGCAACGAACACTGTTGCTGTTGAGGAAAGACACTGTAGCACGAGGGCAGACGCACAAGCACGGAAGGCAAGCTCCTCCGTGATCGGCGCCTAAAACGAGTATTCCTTAAAAGAACTATCAAGTGAAACCTTGGGCATGATTTGAAATAGCCAAATCGAAAGAAAAGCGCATGATGTGTGATCGCTAAATTTAGAATTCGAGGTATGAGACAGGTTCTGGCATTTCCACGGAAAAAAAAAAACGATCACCTCAGTAATATTTGATAACCGAAAGCTTGTGCAAAAGCCTGGAGGTGATCGACAAAAACAGGGTAAAATGGGGCTGGTCCACTGCTCAATACAGCAAGCAATATCTTGCCGAGTCTTAGTTCTCAGATGTCGGAGTTTCAAATCCCGCCCACGCATTTGGTCAGTCATGCAAACACATAGTTTTATAATAACAGGCGGAACTATTGCATCAATTTACAATTAAAAATTGAAAATAAATAATTGCACTACAAAGATACTCGGAGTTCAGTAGACGGCAGTCAACTGGGATGCTTAAAAAAGTGCCTGAAGCAGGGCAGAAACGGAACACGCAAAATAACTAACCATTAAGGCATCCCGAATCCAAATAATATTGTTAGCACGTTGCTTCCAATCACTCATACCTTTAAAACAGTGACTGGTTTCATCTTTTAACTTTAAAAGTTTCTAAATCAGCGCATTTTTAGAACGTGTGTTGACAGTGAATTCTTATGGACATTACGAAACTGTACCATGTTGCATGAAAATGGCCAACCAAGCGCTCTGCCCATCACTTGAAAGTGGCTGGTTAAGTCTGTCGTTTGATGGATCGAAGTTTCCTGGCCTGCTACTGTACATGGGTGAGCAGTCTGCTACATGACCGAGCTTCAAGAGAGGCCAAAGTCCTAAGCCTCAAAGATTTTCATTCACTGGACTGTCCAAACTATCGGCGTAACAGCATACAACAGCGTGTTAGCGCATTCATACATGGTGTGCTCACAACAGCAAACCTGTGATCGACCTGTGAGTAACTATTTATAGCCTTTAAAACTGAAATGAACTTATAGATGAAGTTCCAAAACTAACTCAGCCAATATGACAGGTTGCCGTCAACGTATGCGAGCACCCACGTACCCAAATAGCATATACATGTTAATACTGTCGGTAAAAGGCAAGCAAGATGAATACCACGTGAATGCATACCCATCAATAGGAATGGCGAATCGTGATTCTAAAAACTGACTCTTTTTAATGCCATGTTAGAATGCTCACATTCTTTGATAAAACAGCTTAAAATGTCGAAGTCAGAACTGCAAAACGATGAGTTAAATACCACAGCTGGTGAGAAGGCTTACTGCTGGCGAATCCCCCATACGCCAGACGCGCACCTATGCCAGGCCATACTGTCCTGGATATGAGAGGAAATGAAGCCCTCTCGCTCTGCTGATAGCCAGTCTCAGGCGAGTACTGATGAGCGATATTCACTGTGCTCAACAAAACAACTCTCTAGCTAATTTTTAACGTACACATATTCATTCGGTCATAAATACAGAAGGCAGTGAAATTCTAAGCACACAAAGTGGAAGTCAAATGCAGACAGGATGTCATCACGGTGAGGGTCATCACGGTCAGATCTCGCCGTCGTTCGCAAAACATTTGCGATAGCCAAGTTCTTTGATGAAAGACATTCAAAATCATAATAAAAATGCAAAAGTTGGGAAGGGAACCAGAGAAGTAAAGACAAGAAAACTCAATGAAAGGTAGGAAAATGCACCTTGGAAAGGACAGTATATGTACAGGTGATGCTAATGATATTGTTAACGGCAGCACCAAGGAATCGCCGTTTGACGCTGCGCGGATCATTTCGATCGACGCCGTCGAAGTCGAATGCATACAACAGCGCCACATACGAGGAAGAGATCGCTGTGGCCAGTGACAAATACAAAACTGCGTCACTCATCACGCCATCAACGCAGCCGCTGGCTCCTCCGATTCAGTCACATCCCTGAAAATACGAGTGCGAAGCTAGCTTCGAGTACCGGTCCAGTGAGTCCCGAGCAAACGTCCTGCGTGTCGCGCTCTTGCAGCATCCATCATTCGTCTGCGCTGCAATTATGCGCAGCTAGGTGCAGCAATTCAGGCTACGACATTAGCTCGATGTAGCAATCTGGACTCACTACAGGCCATCCACCTCCTCAAACTGCTCCCTTCAAGCACTGAGTAAAATGCCGGATAAAATATCCTAGCACCATACCTCTCCAATTATTAGACGTGTAAACTGCTGAACACCCGCCCAGCTGCAGCAAAAACTGAGCAATTTCTTAAAATATCATGAAAAATTTTGGGATAACCCGGGCGTCGTATAACAAACAACACGAATCGCTGGCGAAGAATCATTCAGATTAGCACTAGAAACGGTAAGCACGTTATCATCGGACCAAAACAACGAGAAAATAGAAAGTCTCACATGGAATAAACGGATACAATGCGGTACTGGAGATATCAAAGAGCCCTAGATTCCCAATGCGACACCTTTTCAAACTCTTGATAAAATACCGAGAACAATCCTACAAACGTCTTGGAAGCAAGTCATGGGAAAGTAACAACCAGTACATACATAGTTTGCACGCTGGAGACAGACTAAGGCCTCCGCACCTCGCTCTTTGAGAAGAGAAGAACCGCATGCGTGCAACTCGGCTGAGGGCATTTTAATAACGATTACCACGTGCCGGAAAAGCATCGATGATATGAGGAATGCATGGGAGGCAAGTATAGGGACATTTCGAGCTCGCTCCATGGCAAGTAGCTGCTGCAAAAAATGAATTTAGGGGGAATCGCACAGACTGCAAAAATCCACCAAAATCCGAGCTTTAAAGAGAAAAGAGTAAATCGCCAATGAAAAAGACATAGATTTGAATGAATTTTCACCAGAAGTGATTTACGACATCTCATTCCCCATGCAATCTCGAATTCTAAAGTGCCATGTAGGAACGGGCCAAGTGAATGCTTGAAAAATCCGCTCATGCACAATTTGAAAAAATAAAAAATATTTAGCGCAATCCAGTTAATTTTTAAGCGCATCTTTGTACAGGACCAGTCATAAACAGACGAAAACCAGCGGCAGCGTTGTGTTCGAAACTATGTGTGTAACTTAATGGGCCGAAAAGCTTTCATTCACTACAGGCACTGTTGTGATGGGCCTCCCCTTGCAGTTCATTTCCTTTGAATTATTTTGCATTGCCTTTTTCGCATTGTTTCGGCTTATTTTGTCGTTACTGATGTGCTGTTATTTACCACTGCAGGCTACGGGTTGTCTTATTTTAGCGCTGACGGCTTTCTCAAAAATTCTAAATTTCTGAGCGCACAGAGATGACCGCTGCTTTCTTCGTTCTTTCTACAAGATCATTCACTTCTAAAACTATAAAAAATAAATGAAAATCTCGCATCAACACTACGACTGCCATGAGTAGTACTGATTTGAAGACCCTGACGGACGTCATGTGGGATGCAGCAACACACTGAGCGCATTGTACTTGCTGCTAGCGAAGCATATAAGATGTGCCACTCTGCTACTCTCTCGCTACCATAATTTTTGAGATTTTTCAAAATCTGCATCGAATTTGACATTTTTTCATGTCCAATCCGCATCATAAAAAGGGAAGCAACGTACGGCGTGAGCAAGAAAGAGGAGATTCAGAGGTACTACAAAACGACGTGCACTAATTTTGCAGGCTGTGAGTACACAGAAGCATTCAGGGCTCAGCACTGACATACTGGGGTTGAGTGAGCCTGAGGAAGAAAGAACTGATGGCATAATTTAGAACTAGATTTACCTGAAATGTCGGAATTGAGAATTTCACAAAATCAGCATACAATAAAGCAGCACGGCACGCAACGGATTACCCTACAGAGCCACAAGTGGATGCATTTCAAACGCTTCCGCTTGGGAAGAAGTGATATAGAGAAGTTTCAAAAAAACCGAACAAACACAAGTGGCCAGAAAATGGCCACAGAGTGCCCTCTTTTGATACTGCAGCATGAACCCATTGTCGGAAGTTGAGTAACTACTGATAATCACTTACTGTCCAAATTCCTCAAAACCAGACTCAAGCAATAGTCCGCTTGGAAAAGTAGATCAAGCAGAGAGAGCCGACGTTCATCCTGGCATGTCATGAGGACACTGGCTAGCACCTGTCCAGCTAATCATCCGTAACTAGTCAGATACAGGTCAGCAACAATATATATCAGCAACAAAGAGAACTGTATACGGTATAAATACGGTAACTGTATACGATACGGTCAGATCAGCAACAAAGGGAACTGCAGCGGTGTACGATGCGCCTGCAGAAGTAAAAAAGAAACATCAAGGCGAAACACCCGTCCAGTTGTGGAACGAAGGAAAAAAAATCCAACGATGCGGGAGAGTACGGAGGGCTAGAAAATGAAAAAAGCGAACATACTTCCAAAACGAGGAAAATGTGCACTGCGAGGTAATGCATTATCTTCGCTGCCTCCCTGTTCATGGCGATGCCGGAACATGGAAGTGCAATTTCGTGGGGGGCTCAGACGAGACGAACTTCAACAACCCACACATAGCTGCTGTAAGCCTGCGAAACAAACAAAAGATGAATTTATCTGCACGGTGACCAACACCGCCGGTCAGCTGCACTCTCTCTTCCAACAACACATTCACAACGAGCGTTCCCTTGGGGTGCAATTATCCAGTCTAAAAATACCGCTAAAAAAAGTACCCCCCAGACTGCGCGCTGAAAAGTGCTCCTTTGTGAGCCCTATCGTCACTTTTTTTGAGCCCTTAGCGCTATTTCTACCGTCTCGTACTGAATTAGTCACTTTTTAACAAATTTTAATTCATTTTCGATTGCTTTTAAATGCCCTTCCAGTAGCTAAAACCAGTCTCGGACAAGCATCACTGCTGCTGCTACTGAAGTTCGTCCTTCTTTCCCACGTTCCGCTTCCCATACCATGCTACTGAATCTGCGCATCCTAATAACAAGCGATAACGCGCGTTCCAGCCTTCATGGATACCTTACTGCCTCTAAGCCTATTTACCCAACCAATGTGTGTTTGCATTTCGCCTTTCAGTGTTGCGGAATCAACCGCTGCAAGCTCCTTTCACGCATTATGCGAATTACAGAACGCAATTTGCGAAATGCCTCAGCGTGTTAAACTGATTTATGGATTTTAGGCGCTCAAAAAATGTCTCAGCGTGCTTTTGCACATTTCAAAATTGGTCGATGTCTGCCAAAACCCGACATTACGGTGCAACCTCTCAACGACATGCACTTTGCAAAGATATGGTTTTTTTTTTTTTCTTAAAAGAAAACAGCGGTATTAAGCCGAATCTGAGCACGCCTATGAACGCCATGAGCGTATTTTCCGGCTAACACAGCCATTTTTGCAAGTACTTCCACAAAAGTTCGGCCTTCGCTCACAGTAGATTCGCGCGAATTTTTACTCCCGTACAAAGGTTTATAAAGAGACACGAAACCTGACCACCAAGCAGAAATGTTTAATTAGGGTGCCAAAATCAAGCATATGGAAATTTTACATACAGTAAGCAGAATTTAACTAGAAAGACGTGAATTTTGGCCAGAAAAATGCTAAAAAAATGCTAAAAGCGGTTGGAAAGCCTACTGAATTGTGCTAAAAAACGAAAAACAATTGCAGCGCGTTATCTTAGCCACAGGGCGACGCATCTCCTTACAGGAATGGTGCCAAGTGCGTCATTTGGGATGTAGACATTTCAGGATTACAACCAGAGATTCAGGATGCTCTCTCAAAAAATATGTTGAGAAGCTGTCTGGAACAGTGCAACACCACAGCATCAGAAATTTCTGCATTAAATCGGATTTTCTCGCAGAATCGACTTTTAATGATGACTTTCTCAGACGATTATTCACCGGGATTGCCCTATCAAAGAGTGAGAGAGAGCTGTGCCTGTAGGAAACACTGCCCAAAGTGAAGTGTCCTCCTGAAATCAGACTTAACAGACAATGAAAGTAGCCGTAGGCCAGCAAGCAGGGAGAGGGAAAGTCGCTGTTCACATGCGTTGATTCGGACTGCTACTTAATGACCGAATAAAGCGTGGCAAAACGAGCAAAAACAGCTGCACATCTTCGGAAGGCTTTATTTCAGCAGAAAGAAGCTGGTCACAACCCTGATGAAAAAAAAAAAAAACAGGCCTAATCATCTACTCCAGAATTTGTGTTACCATGGAAACTTCTGAAGAATTGGCATTCGAGGGATTCTTTAACAAGTCTTCTGAAGACCAAGTTAATCCAACTACTTATGGTTGATTGCAAGTGAAGCCAGGGACTCATGCGCTTTCCAAAATTCCTATAATAATCCTTTGGGGATAAAGTGGACAAAACTTTAAAAGTCCCAAGGATACACTCTCAAATGAGCTTGCAAGTTCAACATCACAGACAAATGATAAATTCCATTTCACATTATTACCAACAGTTTAGATTTGCGGACAATTTAGCGAAAGACTGACTGGCTCGCAAGTAAGAGGAATTATTTTGCACTGAATTCCCCGGAACCTGCTGAATTCCACTTTCTTTCACCTCGGTAGAAATCCCCTGAAAAAAAAAAAACAAAATCCTCGCCAACAATCACGAATCGTAACGACCAAAACCACTTTTTGTCAATCTCTTTAGGAATTTTTCGCTCCCATGCACTAGGGCAAATTCCCCCAGCAACACTTCACTTCAGTCAGATCCAGATTTCGTCTGACCAAAATGTGGCAGCAGAAGCAACACGATCAAGCCACTCACAGTTACAATTGCCGACACGCATTCCGCCCTCAGCTGAAACCTCAGAAAGGAAAATGGGAGCACAACAGCGAGGTGCCAGTTCGCAACACAGAAGTGTGGACTCTGTTACCGACCTTACCACAATTCTGCATCATTTTGACCAACTTCTACGCACTTATGAGCC